GGATGACAAACTTCGCAGCGTCCCCTGCCTGCCAGGTCCCCTACTTCTCACTCTGCTCACTGTGAACCTTGCCATAAGCCTATGAAGTGGAAGGAAAACGGATCTACAAAGGCTCAGAAACACAGCTGCAAGACTCCAAGCTTCAAAGGCTGGGCTCCTCCCACTGCCCATCACTTCACTTTCCCTCACTCCCTCATCTCATCAACCAGCAAATCCTGGCTGCTCCACCTTCAAAACACACCCAGAATCAACCACTTCTCCCACCTCCAAGGTCACCCTGCTCCGACCCTCCATCCCTTCCTACCTGGACTACTGCAGTCATCTCCGTGGTCTCCTGCCTCAGCCTGGTCCCTGAGTCCATTCCACACACACAGCCAGAGGAATCCTATTAAAATGTAAAGTCAAGGTCACTGTACAATTCTTTGCCAGAATTGCCCCATAGTACTTTCTGCAATGGTGGAAATGTTCTCTACGTTGTCCAGCTCTTTATCCACCAGCCACATGTGACTAATGAGCATTTGAAATGTGCTAAGTATAAGTGAAGGACTGAATTTTTATCTTTTATATTTTTATTTACTTCTTTATAATCCTCACCCGAAGATTTTTTTCCCCATTGCTTTTCAGAGAGAGTGAAAGGGAGAGAGAGACACAGAGAGAGAGGAACATCGATGTGAAAGAGACACATCGATTGGCTGCATCCTGCGCTCATCCCAACCAGGGCTGGGGATCGACCCCACAACCGAGGCATGTGCCCTTGGCCAGAATCGAATCCAGTACCCTTCAGTCTATGGGCTGATGCTCTAACCACTGAGCCAAACCGGCTAGGGCAAGGACTGAATTTTTAATCTTATTTTAGTAGCCACACTCTGCAGGCAAGGCTGTGAAAAACAGACACTCTTGAACACAACTGGTGGAAATATAAATTAGCATATGATTCCAATGGCAATATCTACTTACCTACCTACCGATAGGTCTGTCTATAGCTACCAAAATAACAAAGGCATTTAATATTTGTCACTGAAATCCCGCTTCAAGAGTGTGTCCCACTGATCTACGTTCACATGCCAAATGACATTATGTAAAAGGTTTATAACATTCAAAGATGGGAAAGAACCCAAGTATCTGTCCATTAATAGGCAAGTAGTTAAATAAATTATGGTCCAGCTACACAGTAGCATACAATGAAGTTGTAAAAAAGAATGTGGAAATATTACACCTAAATCACAAAGAAAAAAGTAGATAAATTGGACTTCATCAAAAGTAAAAACTTTTTGAGTTATCAAAGGACACTATCAAGAAAGTGAAATGAAAAGAAAATGAAAGTGAAACGACAACCGACAGAATGAGAGAAAATATTTGCAGATCATATATCTGATAAGGGCCTAGTGTCCAGAATATATAAAAAACTCTTATAGCCTGCTGGTGTGGCTCAGCAGTTGAGCAACCACCTATGATCCTAAAGATCTTGGTTCAATTCCCAGTCAGGGCACATGCCCAGGTTGTGGGCTCGATCTCCAGCAGAGGGTGTGCAGGAGGCAGCCGATCATTGATTCTCTCTCACCATTGATGTTCCCATCTCTCTCCCTCTTCCTTCCTCTCTCTGAAATCAATAAAGATATATTTAAAAAAAAAAACCTAAAAAAACGTCTTGTAATTCAACAATAAAGACAAATAACTTGATTTTTAAATGGTCAAAGGATGTTTCAAAAAATACGTACAAATGGCCAATTAGCACATGAAAAGATGCTCAACATCATTAATCATTACAAAAATGTAAATTAAAACCACAATGAAAGCCCAGCCCAGGTGGCTCAGTGATTGAGCATCGACCCATGATCCCGGGGATCACAGTTCGATTCTGGGTCAGAATGCATGCCTAAGATGCAAGCTCGATCCCCAGTAGGGCGGGTGTAGAAACATCATTGATGTTTCTATCTCTCTCTCCCTCTCCCTTCCTCTCTCTGAAATCAATAAAAATTAAAACACACACAGACAATGAGACAATCAGTTCACATTCACTAGTATAGTATAACCAAAAACATGGAAAATCACAACAAATGTTGGTGAGGGTGTGGAGCCATTGGAACCCTCATGCATTGCTGGTAGAAAACAGTTTGGCAGTTCCTGAAAAAACTCAACACCGTTACCACATGATCCAACAATTCCACTCCTAGGTATATACTCAAGAGAAAGGAAAATGGATGTCCATGTAAAAATTTATACATGAATCTTCATAAGAGAAGTATTTATAACAGCCAAAAAGTGGAAACAACTCAAATGTTATTCAGCCATTAAAAAGAATGAAGTACTACAACATGGGTGAACCTTGAAAGCATTATGTTAAGTGAAAATAGTGATCCCATTATATTACATGAAATAATACATATAATTTTGATTTTTAAAGCATGAGAATGTCCTACATATTAAAAATAAAATTATTTTTCAAATATAAACCAGGTCATGTAATTCCTGTATTCAAAACCCTAGAGGGAAGAAACATCCCGGATCATTTTAAGTAAAAACCAAAGACTCCCTAGTCCCTTTCAAGGCCCTACACCACCTGGCCCTCTTCCTTCCTCTCTGACCTCACTTCCTCCCATTTCCCCTTCTCTTACCTAATTCCTGACTCACTGGCCTCCTTGCTGTTCTGGATATCACAAGCATGTTCCTACCTCAGGAACTTTGTCCTTGCTGTTCCCTTTGCTTGGAACAATTTATCCCAAGATATGTGCACAATATTTGCTCCCTCGCCTCCTTTAGATTTTGATTTAAATGTCACTTTCTTGAATAGGCCTCTCCTGACCCCCATCCCCACCTCCCAGGAGACTCTGTCATGGCCCTGCTATTTCCCTAGAACAGTATCTGGGCCAGGTTGGTGCTTAATAAACATGTGTTGAGTGAATGAATGAATGATCTCAGGCTGTCTGTCAGTCCATCACCCATGATGCTGGACACTAGGAGGGTTCCAGACACTAGACACCAGGGGTAACCAGCCATCCCAGACTGCTTGGAGGTCGGGGACACGTGCAGAAAACTCTGGAGGGTGTTTCTCTGAATTCTGAGACCCAGCCCCCACCAAGGCAAGTGGCCTTTAAACCCCAGGGTTGAAAATCCAAATGTATCAATAAATAACAGCAAGCTCAGCCAGTTTCTCCAGAATTCACCAGGAGTTGGGCTCCAACCTGTTCCTGCCATCAAAACGAACTCCTTTCTTTAAAGAAGGTGGAGAAAGAATCAAGGAGAGAGCATGGGCCTGGCTGGGGACAGGGGCCGCCCAGGGCAGGAACACTGAGGAAACAGACCTAAGGTGACTGGGGTACTAGCAGCTGAGGAATTCAGGCTTAAACCTTCAGAGGGCCAGGACAGAATGGGGCCTCCAAAAGACAGGGACCTTACCTTCCTTCCCTGCTCCCCTCTTGGGTCCTTCTATGGCCTCTAGTGTGGCTCCCATTTGATGATACTGTATGGAATTTATGTGAATAATTTGTAGTCTGCTAGATATGGGTAAAACCCTGCCCCTGTCATTTACCTGCTGAGGTAGTAAAAGCATGTGACTGAACCTTCATTCATTCAGCAAGCATTCACTGAGCCTATCCTGTGCCCTACTCTGATCAAGACCTGGGGTTCAGCTGTGAACAAAGCAAGTCCTGGCCCTCAGAAGCTTGTCTGGTGGGGGAGATGTGAACTGCAAGTTCATTGCTCAGAACAAACACTGTGAAGACAAAACAGGGTGATGTCACAGTGACCAGAGGATGGGGCAATTTTGAGCGGGGTGGTCAGGAGGGGCCTCTGAGGAGACAACATCATTGGTTATTAAGAATAAATGAAATGCTGCCGTCCAGCTCCTCGCTGGGCACCTAACAAATTAAATGCTCACCAAATCTTAAGGTGACTCCTAGAGTCATTCTCATCAGCTTAGTGTCCTCTCGCTGGGGAGAACAGGAGCTCCTGGGGGTCGGGCGTTTCTCCTCCCTGGCGCACAGCACGAGCTGGCACCCAGCAGGTGTACAGGGCGAGCTGGCACCCAGCAGGTGTACGCACGGCCCTGGAACCTCTGTGCGCGGGGGGCTCTATAGACTGGCCCAGCGTAAGCAGGCCCCCAACTAGGGAGCTGTTCCAAGTGTCCACCCAGCACTGGCTCCCTGGCCCGGGCCGGCGCCCTCGGGTTCCTTGCACACAGTAGGCGCTTGACGGTGCGTGCTTAAGAAATGCCCGTTTCTGGGTCCGGCGGCGCACGACCTCGGCCCATTGCACCCGACGGTAAACCGAGATTGGCGTGGGAGGCCCCGCGGCCCGCGTTTCCGTGTGGCGGGCTCGGGGGCACAGGCCGGGGCGGAGCGAGGCGGGCGGAGACGCGCCACCGCCCTTTGCTTCCGCGCCCAGCTGCGCCCAGCTGCGGTCCTACCCCCGGAGCGCCCCGGTTGGT